CCCACGGTTGCTACTCTGTTACTGCCAGATACGCTGTAATTACACAGAGAGCCAATAGACGATGCTTGGGACTAGCAATCATCCTCAATGTGTAAAAACTGGTGATCTTAAATTAGGCAATACCAGCGCCGGCCGCGCCCGAACACAGGTCAAGAAAGGAATGGGAAGGATTGTGTTGACATGACACTCGCTTTGATGGAAGCCGAGAAGACCTCTGCACTTCCACGAGGAATCACTGGGATGTTGGATAAGAGGGTTGGGTTTGCAGCAGGGTTCGTTTTTGGAAACGATAAGCTGAATTGATGTCCTAACGATCATATAACGCAAATGAACTTGGGACTAAACCCATGGTCTTCTGCTCAGTAAGCAAAAACGTTTGCCACTAGGCAGACGAGCACCTTTTTAATCACCGAGTTGCTGTTATTACCATGTAGTCATATTAACAAATAAAACGATTGACGAATCTTGAATGTGGATGGGCGTGAGATTAGACTCATGATGTTCTGCTCAGTAAGCAAAAACGGTTGCTCTAAGGCCACCGAGCCCCTCATATCACATAATACCGTTGCTCAAATTTGTGTATCCATTCAAACCCGGAACCAATGACAACAACGAGTTTCGCAAAATACACGATACACAAGCGATTTTACCATACATCATACTTTCACGCGACGTTCAATGATAGGGTCCTATCCAGGATTACATCTGAAAAATCCAAATCTGGCCAACGCCCACCTAAACCTGTTCTAATCCACCTGAAATGACTAACGAATGGAAGACTTTGACTACCCAGCCATGCAATAGTCTCATTCCGTGCCTTATGGCAACTTGATGATTATATTGCGCTCATCTTTTGGCACCACCCAGGCGAGATTTGGTCCTGTACCCAATGCTTAACTTATCTCCATTCCACTCAGTTACTCGCAATTTCTTGTGATATAGTGGGCGGAATATTATTATATGAGACAATTCAATGCAGACGTCTTTCCAAATTTGGCAGATCGACAGGTAATCGGTGAGATACCACGATAGTTGCTATTCAACAACTCGACAACGTCCCATCGTCAACGCCTGCTATGATAATTTCCCATTGCAGACGCCAACGAAATGACGTCATCGAGCTATCGATCAACTACCCTGGTTATCGCCTGGTACCTTATAGCACGATGCTAGGAGGCGAACCGGAAGAATCGATGAGCTACCTCTCCCCCTACACCGATCTTCAAGTCCTGGAACATGCACAAAGTGGAAAATTACCGACCCATCTCGATCCTGAACTGCTTGGCCAAAGTTCTCGAAAGTCTTCTGCATGAGAAGTTGTATCCAGCTGTTCAACCCATAATCTCAGAGTTTCAGCATGGATTCATGAAAAAGCGCTCGACAGTCTCTAACTTGATGACTTACACGAACTCTTCTCTAAGGCTTTTGACAAAGTCCCTCACGACCTACACAGCAAAAAAATAATTTTGATATCACGTCAAAGTGGATGCACTACAATCATGTCGAAAATATGGTGTAATATTACTTGCTAAAAAGGACAAAATTATCATTAATACAATGCATGAACTGACATTACGCTGCTTTTACTGCATTTGTTTATTTATGTGGTCATAAAAATTACATGAAATTTTCGACATGATTGTAGTGCATCCACTTTGATGTGATATCAAAATTATTTTTTTGCTGTGTAGCCATTATGAAGCTAAACCGCCTTGGTCTTCCACCGTGGATCGTTTGTTGGTTGAAATCATACTTATCATCCAGGAAGGCTTTCGTTAAGGTACGTGATTCCAGATTCAAGGCATTCCATATACCATCGGGGGTTCCACAAGGGAGTCACCTAGGACTTCTCATTTCCGTTCTGTTTATTAACGACGTGTGTGATATGGTGCCTCCCTTAGCTCAGTCGGTAAAGGCGCAGCTACAAAGCTAGACCATGCTGGAGGTGGCTGGGTTCAATTCCCGGTCCGGTCTAGGAATTTTTCGGGTTGGAAAATTTCTCGGCCTCTCTAGGCATAGCAGTATGATTGGACTTGCCACACAATTATACCAATGCAAAAATGGTACAGGCATCGAAAGCTCTCAATTAATAACTGTGGAAGTGCATCTAGAAAACTAAGTTGAGAGCACGCAATAAGCTAATATGCGATATGCAATAAGCTTGAAATGCCAAGAAGAAGAAGAAGTGATATGCTAAGTTCCTGTAAGTTGCTCTATGCGGATGATCTTAAGCTGTACCGTGTGATCAAATCGATCGTGGATTGTTGCGCACTACAAGCTGATATAGAGCGATTGTCATCCTGGTGTCAGATGAATGGAAGGCAAGCCAATGTTGCCAAATGCAAAGTGATTACCCTTACCCGCTCTCACTTTCCGATCATTTTTGATTACTCTATGAATCAATCGCCGCTAGAAAGGGTTAATGCCATTAAGGATCTTGGGCTCATCTTGGACAGTAAACTACGGTTTAACGAGTTGCAAAGGCCAACTCCATTCTAGGATTTTTGCCCCGCAATACTGCACAACCCGACGACGTGTACGCCCTGAAAGCGCTGTACTGCTCTATGGTCCGAAGTGTTCTTGAATATGGAGTACAAATTTGGGCTCCATATCATGCTGTTCATGTACTGCGCATCGAGAGAATCCAGAAACAGTTTATAAAGTTTGCATTACGACGTCTGCCATGGACAAATAGAGGTAGCTTACCTCCGTACGAGCATAGATGTGCGCTTATTGGACTGCAAACACTAACAAATCGCCGAGTCTTTCTCCAGAGGATGTTCATATTTTACATGATTAGTAATCATATTGACTGCAGTTGTTTGCTCGGGAACATCAATTTCCACACTCCAGCTCGCCGTCTCCGCAACTATTACTTTCTGTGGACTCCCGGACATCGTACTGCTTACGGTTATAACAATCCTCTCGATAGATGTTGTAGACTGTTGAATGATGTGTGTGATATTTTTGATATTCATATAAGTAGACCACTTTTTAAGAATAGGATTAAGTCACTTTAAACAGTCTGTATGGCTAAAATGTCAAAGATGGTGGTTAAATAAATAAATATTTGGGGAAGGAGTATTAGAACCCTTTGAAGTTTGGCAAAGCAATCCCAAAATGGTATTAGACAATGTAATGTCAACAAATGTCTATCACTCCTTATTTCCAGAGTGATTTGAGATTTGGGCGTAATTGCATTTGTAAACAAACACGTCAATCACCGATTTCTCGCGAATAAAACCTCAATCTCGAAAAGTAATAACACTATGAGGTAGAGGAATGATTCCTCTATCATTTGGTATAGTTTGTTTGTGAGATTGAGCTTTTATTAAAGATAAATTAGTAATTGACGTTTTGTTTACAAAAGCAATAACACCCAAATCTCAAATCACTCCGGAATTGTGAGAAAATATGTGACTAGCACCAAAATAAAATGGGTCAGACAACAATATTCCTAAGTAATGGACGCAGTAGTAAAAAAGGCTCTACAGATAAAAAAAAAACTGGGCCTAGCGTAAATGGAGCGTCCATGCTTCTCACGCTGAAATAATTGAGTTCAAATCTCATCCCAGACATATCAAGAATGACCTAAAATGTGTTTAACAAAATATATAAACAATAACCGTAAGTTCAACGACAGATGGGATTAAATTAAATTTCTAACAAGACGTTAACAACAAAACTTGATGTTACATTACTTTAATTAAAAAAAAACACTTGACTGCATAATGAAAGCTTCAATAGGTACCTGTCTTCTGTCACAACAATTGAAATTATTCAACAATTAATTATGCTAAAAATAGCCAATTTAAATATCGATTTGTTTTCCTTTTGTTAATCGACTTTGCTCGGGTAGAGTGTCATAGACTGATAAAATTGGCTTATTGACTCAACATTCAACTGAACCAAACCTTACTTTTCTAGAAGCAAGTAATGAGATGTAAGGTTGCCTGCCCTATTGTTTGACATGTTTTTTTTTTGCCTTTCTTGCATTTTCCTGTGGAGTGGAATTCATCTAAGCACAGCATTCCCTCCATATTTGCGGTGGGTGGTACCGTCCACCCACCACTATTTATCTGCTATATTTATACTAATTGAGCTGATTTTCTGTAGATAATCAGTTTATGGTTGACACTAACCATATACCAAAATTCAACGTAATTGGTTGAAGGACAACCGAGAAATAGCCCATACATGGAGGGAACACTGTATTTGAAATTCCTAAAATTTCCTCCATCCTTCGAACAACTTCCCTTAGGAGATAATAATACTTCTCGTGCTGCTGTGTAAATCGTGTAAAGAAGACCAAACGAATTCGGTGAAGGGTAGTTCATTTATGATAATAAACAGCCACGTTCCAGTCTACTCACGCCACTGCCCGTCGAATGCTTGCGCATTTCTCACCTCCCATCGCCACCCATCGTCGTTAGCTCCCAGTTGGAAATGCGGTGAATTTCTTGAACCAAATATGGATTTTTGAACTTTAGATGTTCGTCTGGAGATGAATAAAGATAATCAGAGCGAAATTACATCCTGTAATTTATCCTCGCGATTGTTGACTACTGTTTTCCGGTCGGTTGATGCTTGGGTTCACAAAAATGAGTTTGGTTTTAGCAGTAGTTTTCTCCGCCATCCACTTTGTTCGGGAAATTTGAACTGGGTAAGAGAATAAAAATTGGCACGAATGTGCTGATATCATAAATCAGCGCTAAGGGACCTAATGGAATCAATTTGACTCCCTGCTGCTTGCACTGGCTGCTACACCAAATGCTGGGTGATTTGTAGATTTGGTGGTTGTTTGTGTGCTCAGCAGCTGGATTAGACAAGTTATTACCCCCAGCGGAAAGTTTGTCAGTCTGGGTCGGTGAGCTTGTGCTAAACCAAGTTCGGGATGAAGAAGGAGCTGAGAGGAAAAATAAAAGTTATATCATTCTCAACACGAGTCACGCGGTCGTCCTTGAATGGTGGTCTGGCAAACAACAGAACAAGCCACTCACCTGTTCGCGGATATCTCCCTTCGAGTAGACGGGTGCTCTCGAGCCGGGTCCCGTGTCGAAAGGGCGTCCTTTTTTCCTACCCATATTTTCATCCTCAGAATCGTAGCTCCGAGCGGCTAGATTTGTGTTCGACTGCGTTTGTTGGACCGCAAAACCAAGGCAATTTGCGTGGGACGGTAGTTTATAAGCATGAAAGCGTGGTGGAAAAAAAAAGAAGAGAAATAACATGAAGTGATGGATGAGGATTTCACTATTATTTTTTTTTGTGCGGTTGCGAGGATAAGTGTTGAGTTTCTAAGTGGTCTTCAGTGATGGTCAGGTTTTGAATTAAAGGGGTGTCAAAATCACCGCCAAGATGAAAGATCTCTAGAGTGAAATAATCTGAGTACTACTGTGCTAACATTATGTACATTCAAATTGGTTTGATGTTTTTATGCTTGACAGCTTCTTTTTTTCGCAGATGATGAAGAGCAAGCAATCTCACTACATCATGAAGGGTAAGTGTTCCAGTTATTGCTACACATTCCAACCTTGCGTGTTTCCGGTTCTGGTACAAGGCATTAATCTGTGCCCTACTAGAAATGTAGACTCATAGCTGGAACACTTACCCTACTGTCAGTGTCATACGAAAAAATGTAAAAAGGACACGTTTCCTCGTACAGCGCAATTTTACCTCATGTGGTATAACTGAGAGTCACAAAAAAAAAATAAACTTGGGAGCCATGACATGACTTGAGGAAGCCAGAAGGATCGAACGTGAAAAAAAGGGGGTTATAATTTTTTTCCGTTTCTGGATCGTACCTGTGAGGTGGAAGCTTCTATATTTCCGAGCGAGGAAGCGTGATGCAAACCTGAAATGAGGAGTGAGAAAAATATAAACAGTCAGCAAATGTGGTTCAAATTTTGTCATTCGAATGTTTTCTGGTTTCATGGTAACGTGTTTTGGCTATTCATATTTCGTTTTACATGTGAGAAACCGCTCGGAGCCTTATAAATAACACGGTTAACGCGGTTTTCTTCTCCTACGGTAGATATTGAAGCAAACCAAAACCAGTATGTTATACTACCCATTGACGTTGTCGACTTTCCTTTTCGGTATGATGGTTCAGTTCAAAATTATTTTATTCATACGATTCAATTGATATTTTTTTTTTTTCATCTGCAAAGTGGCTTATCAGTCTATCTTCACGCTCTTAATTAATAGCACGTGGATTAATGAAAACGTTGATTTAGAATGATGACGTATGGAGCAAAGTTGATGGACGTTACATGATGCATCTTTTGAAGATATAAGTTTTGTAATTAATCGCCCTTAAAGTAAGATACAAGATTTATCGTATCACATTATCGCTTGCAATAGCTTGTGAACATTTACGAGGAGGGGTTGGCAGTATTGACAACTAGTGATTATGTTTGTGTTTCATGCTTGAATTTTTAAGCATTTTTGGTTGAATTTTGGTGCAATTAATCAGTAAAATTGTGTTTAATGGTTTGGTTTAGTGTAGTCTGATCAAGGGAATGTGGGAATTATAAGAGTTGTACGTGTTTGCTCGAGAATGAGCTAATTTAGTTATTTTTTTTTTCACGGGTAGTCGCCGCGATTATGTTTCTACTTGTCGTGAGTGCCTTCATAGTGAAAGGTAAGCACTCTAGTAAAAGTATGGACGACTGTCACCACAAAACACCACAAACGGTTCGTAAAAATGTACTCTTTTCTTCGATTGGAACACTTTTCGAACCTATACACGCAGACAAATGGATTTTTATTTCAGGGCCTAATGTATTTTGTTATTGATTCAAACATATTGTAGCACTATTTTAACAAAACATATTTTTGAATCAAAAAAATGGTTTTAGAATAAACAAACAGATTATTGCCTATACAACCGGTTTGTTAATTCAAAAATATTTTTCTTTGAATTAACCGAATAATATATTTGAATCAATACCAAAAATATATTAGGCCCTTAGCCCAAAATATATCCATTTGAATTTAAAAATCATTTCTTTGTGTGTTGTTCCTTTTTTTTCTTAGCGTACTTTAAAAAAACTGCCCGGTTTACGTGCTGTTGTTGACTTGGGTGTGGGTGTGATTCTTAGGCTGTAAACCATTTGTCGAGTTAAATTTAACTCATGGTTAAAAGTGACATGGTTAGAAGCTGTGTCACGTGTGAGCAGTGTATTAGTAGTAGGCTAGAAGTGTAAAGCAGTTTTAGCATAAGCGTTCAGTGTTCTCAAAATTCTTTAACATGATTCCTCATCGGATTTGCAGAAACGGATGGCTGTTAATATTGTGAGACTTTTCCAAATACTTTTGTTAATATTTGATGATTAAATTTCTGCGGTTTTGCAATGAATTATTCCTATTTGTGAAAGTTATTCACCTTATTCATGCATAATTTTGCAATACAAAAATTTAATTTTAATGACAGTTTATGTGTTTAGAAGAAATATATTGAAACCAGATTGGTAGTAATTTAAGCTCAAAATAAGCTGTCAAGAGTTTGAAAGTATTTGTGATGATGATGGGTTTTTAGGGTCGTTTCAGGAATTGCATCACATTTCTGATTCCGGGGAGACAAGGTTGCCAAACAATATATATATATATATATGTGTGTATTTATGTATGTATTTTTGAGATTGTACATAATGTATTTTTTTTTTCCTTTGGTTTGGTTTTTCCGTCCATCTTGTTTTTCGTGCTGAGCACCAATGCTACCGACGTGCCAGGAAGGCAGCTCCCACACCTGGACCCTACCTATCGACCCATCAACTCATGAACCGGGGACCAACGGCTTTACTTCCCATCCGAAGGAAGGCGTGATCAGAGAACATCCCGGCGGCGCCGTCTGGGATTGAACCCAGGCCTGCTGGGGTGAGAGGTAATCACGCTTACCACTACACCACCGGCGCCGTGTAATGTAATTTTAATTTATTCAATTTTTAACAAAACGAAAATTCATTAACCAAAGCACAAACACATTGAAAAAAATGATATGAACTATATTTGGTTTAGCTTCGTAAAGTAGTTGACGCCTGATAAAGATACCATCCCATTTTAAAAGCTTCATGTCCATGTCACTGGGTTCAAATGATTTTGATCATGTAAGGTGGTCTGAGCAGATTACCGTTGGTTATATCTCAGACCCCGGGTGCGACCAACCAGAGAGGATGCATCCTACTGGAGGCAATGGCCAAACTGGACGTTGTACTATCCAACACCGGCTCGGTCAGTACCTACAGGAGGAATGGTGCAGAATCCGTCATCGACGTGACATACTGCAGCTCGAGTTTGGAGGGCAACCTACACTGGAGGGTCGATGACGGTTACACCCATAGTGACCATCAGGCGATTCTGTACAGTGTGGGGCCAGGTGAGAGGCGAGTGGCAGGAGGAAATCCTTCCAGCGCTCGAGGCTGGCGGACTTCGGCGAAGCACTGAGGCGGGAGCGAATAACCCCGGATCTGACTGGGGAAGAACTGGTAGCAGCGCTGACAAGGGTGTGCGATACAACCATGCCTAGAAGAGCCTATCCCAGGCATGGCCATAGACCGGTGTACTGGTGGAGCGAGTCGATTGCTATCCTCAGGGCGTCTTGCCTCCAGGCGAGAAGGAGGATGCAACGAGCTCGTACGACTGAATCTCGGAATCTCTTCGAGTGGCTAAGGCGGCCCTCAATAAAGAGATCACCAGACGCAAGCGTGTGTGCTTGGACAGCTTATGCCAAAGCGCCAACACGAACCCATGGGGGGGGGATGCCTACAAAGTGGTCATGGCAAAGACCCGCGGCGTGACGGCACCCCCGGAGAGATCACCAGCGGTACTGGCTCCGATCGTTGGGTTCCTGTAGGGACGTAGACTCCTGGCCGCGGATCCCAGGCGCGGATCAGGGAGAAGTGTCTAGAGTGACGAACAGTGAACTTGGCGGTATTGCCAAGTCGCTGGTGGTGGGCAAGGCCCTGGGCCTAGATGGGATCCCGGTTGTCGCTCTGAGGGCGGCAGTTGCGGAAAATCCAGACATGTTCCGTTCTGTTTTTCAGACCTGTCTGGACGTAGGCATCTTCCCAGATGCGTGGAAGCGGCAGAGGCTGGTGCTGCTCCCGAAGCCAGGAAAACCCTCTGGGGATCCGTCAGCATACAAGTCCATTTGTTTGCTGGACACCACTGGGAAACTGCTTGAGAGGGTCGTCCTCAACAGGATGTTGGCTTACACCGAAGGTATAGACGGCTTATCAAGCAGCCAGTAAGGGTTCCGTAAGGGCAGATCCACGGTGGCAGAGGTGGTCCACTGGAAACGAAGGGGCATTCGTTACTGCGCGGTGGTAACCTTAGATGTGAAGAACGCGTTCAACAGCGCGTGCTGGGGGGCGATAGCCCGCTCGCTACACCAGCTCCAAATTCCCGGAGGGCTGTATAAGGTTCTGGAAAGCTACTTCCACAATCGTGTGTTGACGTACGACTCAGAAGATGGCGAAAAATGCGTTAGAGTCACCGCAAGAGTGCCACAAGGCTCCATCCTGGGCCCGGTGTTATGGAACGTCATGTACGATGGACTGTTGAGGATAAAATTCCCGGTAGGCGTGAAAATTGTAGGTTTTGCCGACGATGTCACGCTGGTAGTCTACGGGGAATCCATCGAGGAGGTAGAGCTGACAGCGGCTCACTGCGTCAAGCTTGTGGAGGAATGGATTAGATCCAGGAAGCTGGAGCTTGCCCATCACAAGACGGAAGTGGTCGTAGTCAACAATCGCATGTCAGTACAGCATGCGACGTTGACAGTCGGCGGAAGCACAATTAGATCTGTGCGCTCTCTGAAACTCTTGGGGGTTATGCTCGATGATAAGCTCAGCTTCGGCTGCCACGTCGAGTACGCCTGCAAGAGAGCGTCTATGGCTGTGGGGGCATTATCCCGTATGATGCCAAACAGCTCGGCAGTGAATGCTAGTAAGCGCAGTTTCCTCGCTGGGGTCGTAGTATCTATCCTCAGATACGGTGGCCCTGCGTGGGCTGCGGTACTGGATATTGACTGCCACAGGCGGAAATTAGAGAGCACACACAGGCTAATGTGCTTGAGGGTGGCCAGTGCATACCGCATTATCTCGAGAGAGGCCGTCTGTGTCATAGCAGGGATGATGCCAATCAGCCTTATCATTAAGGAGGATGTGGTGTGCTATGACGCGAGGACCGTTCGAGGGGTGCGCAACAACGCGCGAGTTGCGTCGACCGCGAGATGGCAATCGGAGTGGGAAAACTCCACAAAGGGGAGGTGGACTTACCGCTTGATACCTTTCGTATCAAGCTGGGTCAACAGGCGCCATGGGGAAGTAAACTTCCACCTGACACAGTTCCTCTCAGGCCATGGCTGCTTTAGGAGCTACCTGTATAGGTTCGGACATGCAAGTACTCCCATCTGCCCCACGTGTGCTGGCGTCGAGGAGACCGCCGAACACGTTGTGTTCGCCTGTCCACGCTTCGAGCCAGTATCGAGCGCTATGCTAGCGATATGCGGAGCGGATACCAGTCCGTATAACATCGTTCCTAGGATGTGTGGTATCACCGAGAACTGGAGCGCGGTGGTGACTGCGGTCACCCACATAGTTTCGGAATTACAACGACAGTGGCGTGCCGAGCAGCAGTTGCCTACTGCCCGACTAGATCGATAGAGTATTGCTAGAGAGGCGCCATAGTGCTACAGCGGCCCCTCCCACGAAGTAATGCCTTTGGGTGGTTCAGGGGAGGTCAAGGGCCAAGTGCACAGGGTAAGTTTTAGTGGGTCGGGAGTGAAATTCTCCCATCCCCACACCCTGAGTTCCTTCTCAGGTGTCTGTGAGCAAATTCCCCCCCTGTATA